AAGACACTTTCTCTATAAGAAGACTAGATCAACCATTTTACGAAAGAGTTAGAAGAAACCTTCATGACCTACATCTTAAATTTCCTGAAATTCTCCCAACAAATTTCCTAACTTCTCCACCTCGGTTAATACCAATTCAAAAGATTAATACTAACCTTAGTATATATAAAAAAAAGTGAGACTATAACAGACCTGATCAAACAATCATTCTTAACAGAAATGAAAACTTATAAAAATCACTATAAGAGATATACACTGACGCATCCAAATCTTCAGACGGTGTTGGTGCAGCCATCCTTACACCCAATACATCCTTAAAATTTAAATTAAATCCCATTACTTCGTCGTATATTGCGGAGTTGTTTGCAATATTACAAGCACTTATACACATAAAAGAGTCGAAACAGTTCCCGTCTCTCATAATAACCGATTCACTAAGCTTACTTCACACTATCAAACGTTTATATACCAATAATCCAATTTCCTCACATATAAAATCAGAAATGGAGATTCTAAATAATAATAAGATCACTGTTGACTTCATGTTTGTTCCATCACATTCAAGTATACAAGGAAATGAAGAAGCAGATGAACTAGCCCGCTTAGCATCCTTCAGCCAGGACTCCATTTTTATTAATGAGGTTTCTTCAGATGACTTTAAGTCAGAAATAAAACATAAAGTGTTAAGTGCGTAGCAAAATAAGTGGAGTGTATCACAAAATAAACTCAAGGATATTAAACAATTAGTGAAACCGTGGCTCCAACCCACAGCGAATAGACACGACCAAGTGAGAATAACACGTTTGCGACTAGGACACAGTAACGTTACACATAAACACCTCTTTACGCGAACTGTGCCGCCAATGTGTGAAACGTGTCAAGTAACAATCTCCGTAAAGCATATACTAACTCAGTGCAAAAAATATGAAGCAACAAGAAAGAAGCACACTATATCAAATAATATATAAAGGAAGCCCTAGGAAAAAACATGAACATTAAAAACACAATAAGTTATCTTAAAGATTCAGGACTATATCAATTATTGTAATTTTTTTCTAACTTTACCTGTATTATACATTTAGGTCGCTAATAACCCTGGTGGTTACAGCGTAAATAAATAAAAAAAAGATATTAGTACGTCTTTCTGAAGTTTCATAGGGATGCCAATAATATAATATGGTTGGACAACTGTGCCAGCCAGAACAAGAAGGCAGGAACAAGTAGTTGCAAAGGAAATAGAAAGGTTAAAGAAATGAATTCTACAGACGTCGCAAACTAAATCAAAGAGAGATTTAGAAAATCGACGATACCTTTCAGATATGGTCAAGATTATTGTTGAGATTGGCCAATACACTTTGAAATATAACAAAAGTTTTAATGGACAGTTTCATATTTTGGATTTTCTGATGAATAAAGCGATGAAACAAAAAGAACTTCTTAAACCCATACATTCTTTAGAAAAACCCAGAGGATTCCTCAGAGGAAAAAAAAATAACATTCTTAAACAATTAAGTACTTTATTTCCAGAAAATCGATAATTGTTTGGGAAAATTAGCCGGACTTTACAAATGAACATTTATGGCATAAAGGTATTTTACGTATATAATAAACAATTATAAGCTATTTATTTTCTTTTTGCTAACTAATATTCCTTGTAAAAAATTCAATTTGGAAATGCAGATACGCTACTATTTCTGATCCAGTAATGTGTCCGCTGCTCAATTAAAATGTGGTAGGTGAGTTTTTCTACAGTTTTGATAAAAACATGGTTTTTTTAAGAATATATTTTTAAATAAAGTTCAACTATCATTACAACATGTATTGCGTTCAAAAGTTGTCAAAACAATATATAGTACTAAGAAAAAACTTTGAAAGCCGAATTTCTCAGTTTTAGGTTGGCTGCACATACTGCGTTTTATTTGAAGACGGCAGTATAGTTTTCCCAGGTAATAAAAAAAAGTGATTCAAAATTTTTGAAAAATGAATAGGCCAATGACATTGGCAGCGGTGTAAAGAAGTTTTAGTAGTTGAAAATGAAATTACAAAGTGTAAACTGTAGATATATTGCCTGAATAAAATGTTATTTTTAACATCGTCTAATAAACTCCAGTAAGCATAGGTTTGCAATTTACCTATTACGCCATCAAAAAAAGAAGTCTTCAAACTACTCGTTGTTTAACGTAAAGGTCGCTAATAGTATACTTAGGCCTTTTCTTCTTCTTAAAGTGCCCCCTCCTCAATGGAGGTTGGCTACTACAATTTTAAACTTTTCTTTCTTTTCCTTTCTAGGCCTCTCTTTCCCTCGATTTTTTCTTTCACTATAAGTTGGGCATATTGGTACTTATTATTTCTCAGTATGTGGCCTAGGTATGATGTTTTTCTAACTTTTACTGTGTTAAAAAGTTATCTTTCCTTGCCTATTCTATGCAGCACTTCTTCGTTTGAGGTATGAGATGTCCATGAAATTTTGAGTATACTTCGGTAGATCCACATTTCAAAGGCCTCCAATTTATTCACGGTTGATATTTTACGGGTCCACGTTTCAAACGCATATAGAAGAGTCGACCAGACGTAGCATTTTGATAAACGTAGTCGAATTTCGACTCGTTTTATTCGAGAATCACAAAGCAGTTTTTTTATTTTTTTGAAAGATTTTCTGGCCTGTTCTATTCTCGATCTTATTTCTAGATTAGAATTTAGGCTGCTATCGATCCAACATCCCAGGTACTTAAATCTATTGACCTGTTCTAAAATGTGCCCATTTATTGTGCAAGGTTGAGGTACGTTTTGGTTTTTTCGGATTGATATCACTTTATTTTTTTAATGTTTATTTTCATACCAAATTGCTCACAGGTCGAGTTGGTCTTGTCGATGAGTCGTTGTAGACCTATGTCAGAATCCGCAATTAACACTGTATCATCGGCGTATCTAATACTGTTGATATTTACGCCATTCACATTGACTCCATCCTTGGAATCCTCCAATGCTTCTTTAAATAGAAACTCAGAGTAAAGATTAAACAGCAGAGTCGACAGAACACATCCTTGTCTAACTTCCCTCCTAATTTCTACTTCTTCGGATGTGGAACCTTCGATCCTAACTCTGGCGTTTTGGTTCCAGTACAAGTTTTTTAAGAATTTGATGTCTTTTCCATCTAAACCGACTTCTTGCAAACGTTCTAATAGTAGGTCGTGTCTTACTGTATCAAATGCTTTTTCGAAATCTATAAAGCATATAAATATATCTTTCTGTTGGTCGTAGCATTTTTGGGCGAGAACTAGTAAACTGAACAGGACTTCTCTCGTTCCCATGCCGGCTCTGAATCCAAACTGATCGTCTCCGATGATTGTTTCGCACTTTCTATAGATACGATTATGTACGATTTTTAGTAGGACTTTTACTGCATGACTCATAAGGCTTATCAAACGGAACTTCTTGTAGTGTTGTGAATTTGGTTTTTTTTGATAGTGGGATGAATATTGACTTCAGCCCATCTTGGGGTATTTTAACTGCGCTTGAATATCATAAATGCGATTGAATAAAAGGACAAATATTTCGATATTTTCTTCGCTGATTAATTTTAACGTTTCTGGGTATATTCCGTCTGGACCTGGGCTTTTATTTGTTTTGAGATGATTTATTGCATTTATGATTTCAGATTTCAGAATTGTTGGCCCTTGGTTGTTATTTTCCAATCTTGGTTCTTCTCGTATGTCTCGAAAAAGAATTTTAATATAGTTTTCCCATTCTTTCAGTTTATCTTTCGTTGATTCTAGCAGTTTGCCATCCGTGTTCAGCATGGTGTGAAAAGTCGTTCTCTTGGTAGTCGATGTAAACTCTTTTACCTTTTTATGTAAATTAAAAAAATCGTGTCTTTGTTGCAGTTCTTCTATTTTAACGCATTTTGTTTTCAGCCATTTCTCTTTTGCTTCGGTTATTTTTTTTTCGAATTATTCTATTTATTCTTTTGTATTCTCCGTCCTTGTCATTTTTTCCTTTAGATTCTCTTCGTTTGTTCATTAATTGTAAAATCTCTTCTGTCATCCATTCCTGTTTGTTATTTCTAGGTGTTACTTTTAGATGTTTTTCCGTTACATTGTTCATTTGATCTTTAATAGTTTTCCACAGAACGTTTATGTCATCGTACTCGCTAATTCTATTGTGGTCGATATTTCCTAAATTTTTGTTTAATTCTTTATTCACTGTCTGATGTATGGTGTCGTTTTTCAATAATTGGATGTCTAATAGTTGGTGTTGAGGTTTTTGTTTCTTTATTAGTTTCCATCTTGCGCGACCTTTTGTAACAACAGGATTATGATCGAAATTGATGTCAGTTCCAGGATATGTGTTTGCACTGATGATTGCATTGTAATATCTTTTGTTGACCAATATGTAATCTATTTGGTTACGGATTACTCTGTTTTCATTGTGTTGTGGTAAAGTCCAAGTGTACAATCTGCGGGGGTGTAATTTAAACCATGTATTTATCGCTACCATGTTGTGTTGTTGGCAAAATTCGGTCATTCTCTCTCCCCTGTCGTTCCTTGCTCCAAGTTAGAAGTCTCCGATCAATCCAGAAACTTTTCCTCTACCTAACTTAGCATTAAAGTCACCTAAGATAAATGTTAGGTCTCGTTTTTTGGTCATCTTTATGTTTTTCTAGGTCATCATAGAAGCCTTGAAGACGTCATCAGTAGGCCTTTTAGGTTAGTATAACGGCTAAATAGTCTAAACAGATATACAGCAATGGTGAAGCTTTAAATAAAAGGAAACGCAGTCGTCAACTTTCATTTCAACGGCTTTTCTCTACGAAGAGAGTGTACAAAATGGTGTCTTCAAGAGTAAACTGTAGATGCATTGTCGGAATAAAAGGATATTCCTATTTGGCTGAAAAGTTTGCTTTTTTGAAAGATATATACAAGAAGGAAAGAGAAAGTAACGGTATTCTCTACACTAGGATTTGTAACGATTAAATGGTGAATTATCAAGAATTTACTTACCAAATTGACATGTGCTTTATCGATATAATTAAAAGTTGGTACTATTTCTTTGAAGTTAGTTAATATTTCATTATGTCTCGCCATATCAGTAGCCAATATGCATCTTATCATTCCCTCCCTAACTTGTTTAAAATCATCACTACTGAATGATTTAAAAATATTGCAGTCATCATTTTCCAATATCCTAAAATAAAAAAAGTAGAATTTTATTTTCTGGAACATAGAAACACTGTAAACCAAAATATTTCTCATATGTCTGCCTTATTATTAATCTTTATAAAATTATATTTTATTTTAAATTCTTACCTGAAGGCTACACTACAATGATGGTTCTCCAATGGTGAGATGTCGTTGTAGCGAATAGCTAATTCAGTTTTAGCATTAATCTGATAGATATTGTTATATCCTGGATGGTCGAGGTCATGGCAAATGCAAGAGGTTAAAAGAATAAGAACCTCAAGATCACCTATCTTTGATGGAAGATCAACGCACCATGAAATTGCGTACATCTGAAATAAAGAAAGACCAATCAAAATTTGCTTTAATGAATTTTTGTTTATTCACAGAAAAAACCAGTTATTTAAAAAATTATATTCATATTTAAGTTAAATGTTTGACTATTAATTTAATGAAATTTAATCTAATTAAATAATTAACCTGAAACTAGAATATTTTTATAATTTTTACAAATTCACAACAAAAACAAGTTGCGCTTGAGATTTTATTTAAATCATTTTTTGAAAACTAGGAATAGTAACAGCTAATGTCATTTCTCGTGTTCACTCATTAAAAAGTTTGTTAAATGCTTTCACGAAAGACAAATGCCATCTTATGTAACTTCTGTTATAGTTGAGGACAAGATGCGTCAAGATTCATTTTCGAATGGTAAATATAGAGATCATGTCAAACCAAGAAAAACCCACCAAAAGTTGGTGAATTTTTCAGCATATTTAACGGTTATTCCACATGTGTCCATAAGGCTTATTGCTACAGAAAATGGAATGTCATTAGTTACAGTTCAAAGGATTTTAAAAAACAATCATTACAATATATTTAAACTGTGTTTGGTTCATGAATTGAAACCTACCTATTTGTATCGAAGACTAACCTTCATCACCATAATGCAAGTGATGATGTAAGACACTCATGACATTTTAACTATAATTTTGTAAAGTGATGAAACTCGTTTCCATAATAATGAGATTTTTAATTGCCATAACTCCCATTACTCGTCAATAGAAACTCCGCACTGGTTAAGGGAAACTGGTTAAAATAGATGGGGAATTAATGTTTGGTCTGAGTTATTTAATGAGCTTTTAATAAGATCATATATTTTTTAAAGAATATTTAAACGGTCAAAGATATCTGTGACCATGCGTGACAGCGAAACACAGAGTACTTATTTCAGAGATCTCTGACGATTCCATATTAGGGATGAATTTACTAAGAGAAGTTGGGGCTGTATTGAATGTCAAAAATGGAGTTCTCGAGATCAGTGGTAAAGTGTTGCCGTTTCGTGAAGACAAAGAAGATGTTATCAGCTTACTAAGTACTTGTGACGTAATAATACTCGGTAATAGTGAGAAAATTCTGATGACCAGAACTGATGGTTACTGCCGAAAGGGAAGTTTAAGGATTTTCGAAGATTTTTATAATGCCAAGTTCCTAATGGCAAAAGCTTTAGTGAGAGTTCAAGATGTCGTTGCTATAAGAGTTTTCTATTGACTACCGCCAGCTCAATGCTGTAACTAAGAAAGATAGATATCCTTTGCTGAGAATAGACGATACATCTCTCTGGTTTTCGTTGATTCTTTAGACTAGATCTAAAAAGTGGATATTGGCAAGCAGACATGAAGCCAGCTGATCGGAGAAAAACCGCATTCTTGATATAATTAGTTTGGCAGTTCATGGTTATGCCCTTTGATTTATATTATACCCCTGCCACATTTGAAAGATTAATGAAGGCAGCTTTAAGACGTCTAACATAAAAAACATGTCTGGTTTATTTCTTCTTCTTCTTCAAGTGCCCTGTCCGTTGCGAACGTTGGCTATTAACCTGGCAATTTTGATCTTGTTTGCGGCGCTTCTGAATAGTTCGACCGATGTGAGCCCGAACCACTTCCGCAGATTTTGGAGCCACGAGTGTCTTCTCCTGCCTGGCCCTCGCTTACTGTCTATTTTTCCCTGGACAATCAATTGTAGCAGACGGTACTTATCGTGTCTCAATATGTGGCCTAGATATTCAAGCTTTCTTTGTTTAATTGTATTCACGATTTCTTTCTCCTTTCCGATTCTTTGGAGTACCTCTATGTTGGTGACATGTTCGGTCCAGGATATACGAAGAATGCGTCGGTACACCCACATTTCGAATGCTTCTAGTTTTCTCGTTAGCGTCTCCGTCAGCGTGCAGGTCTCCACGCCATACAGCAAGATCGGAAAAATGTAGCATTTAACTATACGTAGTTTTAGGGGAAGAGACAAATCCTTGCTTATGAGGAGCTTTTTCATATTGCTAAATGCTAATTGTCGTGCAGGTTGTTGCTTTTTGCTTATCAGCATCCGCTTTGTCTTCTTGAAGTTGAGGCTCAGGCCGTATTCCTCACTAACTGAATAAAGTCTTTCCATTACTTGTTGTAATTCGTCTATGGTACTGGCAAGGATCACCGTGTCGTCGGCGTATCTTATATTGTTCGTTAACTCGCCGTTTATTTTAATGCCCTCATTTGCATTTTCCATACATTTGTTAAATATTTCCTCGGAATACATATTGAATAGGAGTGGGGATAATATACACCCTGACGGACACCCCTTTTGATCTGCACGCTTTCAGTGAGTTCGTTGCCAATTTTTGCTCTTGCTGTTTGACCCCAGTATAGGTTTGCCACAATTCGAATGTCGTTGTCGTCAATACCTGTCTTTCGCAGAATAAATATCAATTGTTCATGATTGACATTGTCAAATGCTTTTCTAAAATCTACAAAGCACAGATACACGTCTTTATCAACGTCTCTACACCGTTGTATAAGCACCTGGAGAGCGAAAATTGCTTCTCTAGTTCCAAGTGCTTTCCGAAAACCAAACTGCGATCTATCAATATTTGACTCACATTTATCATATATTCTTCTGTGAATGATCTTAGTGAACGTTTTAGTGACATGATTGATCAAGCTTATGAGCCGGTAGTCATCACAAATCTGGGCATTTGGTTTCTTCGGGATTGTAATAAATGTTGACTGTAGCCAGTTCTCCGGGATTTTACCGCTATTATATATGTTGTTAAAAGTTAAATGTCGTTAAATCATATGTTGTTTACATAGGATCTTTAATATTTCGAAGGTACATTGTCTGGACCTGCTGACTTATTGTTTTTTAGTGCTGCAATGGCATCTTCTATCTCCGATTTAAGAATTGAAGGTCCTGTTTCTCCTTCTCCATATAGGTGATCATCAGTCCTGTTAGATGCAAATAATTTTTCTATGTATGATTTCCATGTTTTTAAGATCGTTGATGGCTCCGAGATAAGATTTCCATCGCTATCTTTTATGCTGTTGGGTGACTTATTGAATTTCCTCTTGTTTGTCATCGATTTTATTTTTTTGTGCATATTGTAACTGTCGTATTTTCGTTCGTATTGTTCTATTTCCCTGAATTCGTTGGAAAACCATTTTTCTTTGGCTTCTCGAATTTTCGTTCTTATGGTTTTGTGGATCTGCTGGTATTTTTCTGCATTTTTATTCTTGAATTTACGTCTTTCATCCATCATATCCATTATCTCATCAGACATCCATTCTTTCTTTTTTCGTCGGTCTCGCTTTAATAGAGTCGCGCATGTTGTTTGATTGCTTCCCTCGATTTATCCCATCTCTCTATTATGTCCGACGTGTTCTCGTTAATGTCCTTTATTTTCTTTCCTAGTTGTTCTCGTACTTTTATTTCGGTTTCTGTGTTAGTGAGTTTTTTAATATCGATTGTGTTTAAATTAGATCTTTTCTCGAGCCGTTTTACTCTCATGACCATTCTGCATACCAACACATTGTGGTCCGTAGGAACATCGGCACCTGGGTACGTTTTTGATGATTTTATCATGTTTTTATATCTTGTTGGTACTGCTATATAATCTATCTGATTTCTAATGATGTTGTCAGGTGAGTCAGCGGGGGATTTCCATGTGTAAAGTCGACGTTTGGGGAGCTTGAAGAGTGTATTACTTAACAGCAGGTTATATTCCTGGCAGAAGCATATAAGTCTATCACCTCTATCGTTTCTCTCCCCTAGGCCGAAGTTTCCCACGATCTCATTCACCTTGCCTCTGCCAACCTTTGCATTGAAATCTCCCATCACTATTGTTACTTCATGTTTTTTTGTCATTTTCATCAGGCTTCCCAGTTGTTCGTAGAATTCTTCGCTGGTTGCCTCATCTTTATCTGCCGTTGGCGCGTATACCTGTAATATATTAATATCCACCGGTGTTGCTCGAATTTGTAAAAGCATCATTCTATCTGAATGGGGAGTGAAAGATTTTACTGCCGAATTAATATGTGGGGCAACTACTATTGCAGTGCCGTTTTTGTGATGTTTTGTGTTGTTTCCAGCATAGTAAACTTTATATCCAACCTGGTTTATTTGGATGATGTAATTGTGGTGGGAAGATCCTTCGATGAACATGCCAACAATCCGACAGAAGTTAGATTTAGAGAATTTGAAGTTAAACCGAAGAAATGTCACGAGGAGAAGTAAAGTACTTGGGACATATTGGAGCGAGTAATGGTGTAACAGATGATCCTGAAAAACTTGCAGCAATTAAGGATTGGCTAGTACCAAGAGATAACACGAAATTTAATTTTTCTTGGTCATTCTTTAACATATTACCAACATTTTGTCAAAGGATTTGCTAACATATCTAAGCCATTACCAAATTTGACAGAAGAAGACAAAGACTATACATGTAGCGAAGAGTTTCAAAAAGCTGTCGAACAATTCCAAATGGCTTTGATCACTGCATCGATTTTAAGCTACCCTAGACAGGCAGGAAAATTTTGTGTTGCACATCGATGCCAGCAACAGTGCAACAGGAGCTATTTTTTCCCAAATCCAAGATAAGCAGGAGAAAGTCATCGCTTACTTTAGAAAAGTCTTGTCAAAACTCAAAAGTAACTGCAAGTAACTATTTCGTTACCAGGAGAAAATTACTAGGCATAGTTAAGGCTTGCGAGCATTTTTATAAATACTATATGACAAAAAGTTACTTCTTCGCACGGATCACGCCGCTCTAAAATGGCTCCTACAATTCCGTAATCTAGAAGGCTAGATGGCAAGATGGTTAAAACGATTACAAGAATATGATTACCATATCGAACGCAGGGTAGGAAGAGTTCACTTAAATGCTGATGCTATTTCGAGACGGCCGTTCAGTGCAAATTTTAATCACTGTCTTAAATTAAAAGAACGACTTTGCCTCGTGAGACGAACCACCATCATTATTGATCAATGGCAGTCTCAACAGCTACAT